ATATACATTTTTTTTTTACATCATTATTTTGTACTTTTTTTCATCTCGGTTGTAATCCTTGTGGCCTACCCTTCAAACTATGTATGAATCTTAAGTGTGTGTTGATATTACACCCAAAAGGGATTAATTTAATAATTTAGTAATTTGTTACTTAATATTCAATGGTCACTTAATGACAGCCTGTTTTGTACACAAAACATTATGCCCACTTCCCCACCCCTTCTCTTTTTTTTTTTAAAGATTTATTTATTTATGCATACAGAACTGGGGTACAGGCCAGAGGTGCAGGGGCAGTGAGAGGATTCACCAGAGACAAAGTGGGGAGCTGAACAGGCCTACTGATGAAGACACTGCTGAGGGGAGCAGTGGGCAGGTCAGGAGAGGTCTGCCACGCCATATGGGTCACTTCTGGGGCCAGGGATCAAACTCATGCTGAAGTGGCTTTAGCTTCTTAGTGCTGTGCTTTAACATACTGCACCACCAGGGAGGGCCCCATTTTTTATTTTTTTAACATCATTGTTCATTTTTGTACAATGAGTACATTTTCATCTCAGTGATAGTCCCTGTGACATTCCCACCACCAAGTCACTCTTGTATCCTCACCATAGTCCCTTGTGCTCTTCCCATCCATTTTGATCCTCTCCTGCAGAACTCTGGTTTATAGTTGCCTGTTGACTTTGATATTTACTTTATTATTTTTTTTCCTGCTCCCTTATTGGGTCCTCTACATTCCTCCTAAGAGTGAAACCATCTGGTAATTTTATTTCTGGCTTATTTCACTGAGCATGATCCTTCTAGCTCCATCCATGTTGCTGTGAATAGCATGAGTTTATCTTTTCGATTGCTAAGTAATATTCCAGTGTGTATATCTACTACATCTTCTTGATATAGTCATCTAATTTGGGCCATTTGGGTTGTTTCCATAGCTTACCTATTGTAAATAGTGCTGCAGTAAACATAGGGTTGCAGTTGTCCTTTTAAATTAATGTTTTTGTGTCCTTTGGGTAGATTCCTAGGAGTGGAATTGCTGGATCATATGGAAGCTTTATTTGTAGCAGCTTGAGGAAACTCAAACAGCTTTTCATCGAGGTTTCACCAGTCGCATTCCCACCAGCAGTGTAGAATTCCTTTTTCTCCACATCCCTGTCAACATGTGTTGTTTCTAGTTTTTAATATATGCCATTGTCACTGGTGTAAGGTGGTAATTCATTGCGGTTTTGATTTGCATTTCCCTGACTAAAAATGATAGTGACCACTTTTTTCATACTCCTATTGGCCATTTGAATTTACTCTTTGGAGGAGTGTCTTTTTAGCTTATTCCCATTTTTTGACTGAGTTATTTACTTTGTTTTGGTTGAGTTTTGTCAACTCTTTGTAGCTCTTTTGTGATCAATCCCTTATTACTATTGTGTGCAAAATTTTTTTCCCAATCAGTGAGGCATCTCTTTGTTTTGATTAATGTCTCTTTGCTGTATGGAAGCTCTTTAATTTGATGTAGCCCCAACTGTTTATCTTTTCCTTCAGGATCATTGCTTTGAGTGATGTGTCCTTAAAGATGTTACTGATGTATATGTCATGTAGTGTATATTTTCCTCTATATATTTTATGGTTTCAAGTCTTATGTCTAGTTTGCTAACCCTCTTTGAATTGGTTTTTATGCATGGTGTAAAGTAGTCAATTTAGCTTCATTTTTTTGCATGTAGCAGCCCATTTTTCCCAGCACCATTTATTGAACAAACTTTGTTTCATTACACTATGCCTACTTTATGAATGACACAGACAATAATACACAATACAAATCAATATTGTTTAAAAATAGTATAAGGTCAAGAGCTGTGGGATTTGAGAGAGAAAAGAAAAACAGGACTCTAAGTGAAATTGGCCATTAAATCAAGTTGTTTTATGCCTCCAAACTAGGTATATCAGGAGTCAAATATGGAAAAAATAGCAAGTTGACCAAGGAACTATTCTGCTGAGCTCTAGAAAAGCTCTCGGTCTATAACCTGGAGTCACTTCCCAACCAGCAGTCACTCACTCAGCACAGGTCAACCAGAAGGCCTAAATAGGACTCTGACCTATTGGGAAGGCATAGATACTGACCCCTTTGGCTGCTCCTATTGAATCAAAGGAAGGTAATTCCCCATTTGGACTCTCTGGCCCTTTCTCCCCTTTCTATAAATGAGTTAAGCTATCTAGATTGAGCTAGTTCTGAAATAACCATATATCTAATAGGAGATCCCACATTACCTAGGCATGAAAAGGCAGTGTTATACAGATTACCATAATTATTAGATTATTATGTATTGTGCCTGGATACACAGAATTTAGTACAGTAATACTTGCAAGACATGACATTAAAATTAACAAAGTTTAATTTGTCAAACTTTGTTGATAGGCAAGTTTTTTAATGTTAATGAAGAAAAAAATTAGATACATTGCTATAGTCATGAATATGTTGAGCAGATTTCAATAGTGTCAAATAATGGAATATTACAGTAATAGTCTTTCTAGTGTACACTGATCTATGTGCACAATCAAGTAACATTTATTAATGTAGATGTAAACAAGATTAAGATACAGGGAAACAGTTCTTATGGCAGAAATTTGTAGAATCTAGATAAATGTTTTATGTTTCAACAACAAAAAGCTTAGATCCAATGACAAATCCATAAAGCAATATCATATGTAATTTTTAATAACAATAAAAGCACCATTATTTAGGACACTTAAAATAATACTTCACAGAACATTTAGAAAGAAGCTGTTGACCAACAAAAAACAAAGCATACATCCTACATGGTCGTATTATGGTCTCACAGCAAATCTGACTTCAATCTGTGGAGATTTAATTTGAATTCATTAAGCTCAATATTGACATAAAAGGGACATTCCAGGGTTGTGGTGAATTTTCTCTTGATGCCACGTAAGACACCAAGAGCTCATCTCATAAAGGGCACGACTTTCACATATCTATGTCACCTACATCTTGGGGTATTTGCTTGTACTCCCAAACATGTGGGCTGCCAATTGATCATACACATGTTTATAGGCATATATAGCTTTTTACATTGCTTAATTATTCCTCTTAAAAACTTTTGTAAAAGTAGGCTTGTTTTATTTTCACTACTAGGACAACAGCCAATAGATATTCAGGTTTAATCCTATTCAAAAAAGTGGTCAAAACACAAAATGTGACTTAAATAATGACACTCATTTTCCTCAATTACATAGTAGAATTTGACTTTTTTTATACAATGATGTATCACTGGATAAAGGAATAATTTCCCAAAATGAATACTTTCAAGGACAGTATTCCTCAGATGCATATTTTAACAGGAAATCAGTATTATGATAGCCACATATCTCACATTTTTGGATTCCTAAACTATCAAAGTAGCAATGCACTAGAAGTTTTGCCCCCTCCACTTCTCTTCCCCTATATTTCCAATTTTCCTGATGGAGATGAATTTCCTGAAAAGGTAGATTACTTCAGAGAAAGGGGTATTAAAGTTTATATAGATCATAACTACATTGATTTCATTATTTATGGACTGATTATGTTCTTAGGTTTCAGTTTCAAATTTCTAGGGAAACTGACTTTGTTTCATCAAATCTGCATAATTTTCAGCATCAGACCATGCATATAGGGTCACTTGAACAAATGCTTGTTGAAGATGAATATAATGACTTCTTAGAACTTTCAGATTTGACTAAGAACTTTCAGATTTGACTATTTACACTGTAATTAGAGATCTGACTAAAACCGAACAAAGAATAAATACTAAAAATTGAAGTAAAAACTTCCATAGGAAAATTTTCAGTGCCTATAAGGTCAGCCTCTAATATCCATGGTGCCAACCACCCCTTCTGTTGAAGGAGCTCTCGTTTGTGAGGCCACCATGAGCCCTCCGGTTTGGAAACTCCGTGTAGGTGTTCCAGTATCCTGTACCACTGGAAGGTGATGCATTATTCCTGTCCTGGTTTCTGTTCATTCTGCTTGGTTTTTCTGCATGAAGTACACTGTGAAAGGTAACATTGTGTTCATACCGTTCTTTCATTCGGTGTATTTTTTCTCTTGGGACTCCATGAATGTTTCTTCTATGTGGAAAAAATGCAAACATTTAGTAAGGCAATAGCTCAAGGTGAGCTACTTGTACTTTGCAAGTCCATATTATATAGATATACTCTCCCTACTCTCAGAATTTAACTCTGACAAAAGCCTAACATCTTGTTGAGCAATTATCTTTCAGGTCCACTCCTATTTCCATGCTGCCCTGCAAACCCCCAAAATACCCTCAAGCTAGCAAGAAGCTAAAGGTTCAGGTAATGCTTTGTTTCTAGAAATTTCAACTCTGCTTCAAGATATAAAGACCTCCACAAAATATTTTTATTATATTATACATTTTACTGTTAATCATGCATATACCAATTCAGTCCTAGATGCTGCTACACGCTTATTAAAATATTTCTAGATATCTCTTAAATTCTAGAGAATATGATAAATACTGGGAATATAGTTAGAAATATAATTGCCAGAGATCCCAACTACTGAAGGGAGTCCATAAACAAAGAATTTAAGAGTTTTCTCAGGTAATTCTAATAGCAGTGGTCCACAGACCCACTTTGGAAACACTATCTTTGAAATAACCATAAGAATGAATGAACCTCATTCCTGAAAAGTAAATTCTGATCTCAATTGTTAGTTTAAATCATTAGCCTCTTCAAATAACACAATAGTGGATCTCAGCCCACATATTCAATAATACGTTAGTATTACTAGGACATTTACTACTTTATAAATTAGAAGCAGCATCTAGACCATAAGTGAAATACAGACTGCTCAACACTAAAAATATTTAGCCTGAATGCAAAAAAATCACTGATATGTGCAATCCCATGCAGAAGAAAGTGTTTTTAAATGTTCATTAATGAAGAAGCATTTTAGCAAACTGTTAAATGTGTGCTTTTAAAGGATCAAGTCCAAGCCAAGATTTAGCATTTAGCATTTAGAATTGTATTAGAAAAACAGACCCATGTCTAAAGTTTTTACATTAATAATTCCAAAGTTATCAATTTCCAAGAATTACCATTTCTGGCCTGAAAACTACCATGTCCATTTCCAGCCTGAAAAGATTCTTTTGTTCGGTCTGAAATACCTGAAAATAGCAGGATACATAAATGAGGAACTAGAAAAACAAAGAAGTACCTTGCTAACTCTTGAACGTTGAATTTCCAGCGAGTGTCAGGTTCTCGGAATATAACTTCATAGTTATTTTCAAGTGCCTGATTTTTCAAAAGTACATAAAACATTGAAGACATGGTATGTATGTTTGGGAATGTGTATGCTGCCATTTAACATTTACTACAAATCTTCTCTAAAATTTCTCACTTTACCAGTAATCCAATGACTGCCTTAATTTATCATAATACATAACTGGCTTGTTTCTTTATTTAGCCATTCTGATTCTACTGTGTCTCCCAGTAATAAATTTTAGTCAGTTTCATCTACTATGTAGGAAAATTATAAAGATTCTTTGTTTTGGACATCTTTTAACAGGCAGCTTAACTAATTTAAAATATCCTGTCCACATATAAGTAATGAATTTAATGATTTCTCAAGTTCTACTGGTAGGATTATCATAGATTTACTGTCAAATGTCTTCTATTCCTCGTGCCCTGGTTTAGAAAGTGATAGTGCCATCAGATTAGAACTGAAAAAGGGGAGGAAAAGGTGATTTCCATGCACTTTACTACTCTTTCCTCCAAAGGTAGTTCCCACTGCTATGTAGTACAGTTTGGTTCAACTGTGCTGTGCCCCACTTCCTTGAGTTTAGAAAACTATTCAGTTTCTATATAGGCATCCAGATATTTTTCACATTCATAAATTGACTAATATATATTTTTTTAACATCAAACAACTTTCTATTATTATTTACTGTGTTACAAAATAGAGAATGAGGGCCCTCCCTGGTTGTGCAACAGGTTAAAGTGCAGCACTAGGAAGCTAACCACAGCTGCTTTAGCACAATCCTGGGCCAGGGAGGTGACCCACAGTCTTAAAAAAATAAATAGAAGAGAATGAAAAGTGCTAACAAGATGTGTTCTTCATTCTTTAGATGAACACTCCTCATTAGAAAAGATTAAATATCACATATGGAAGATATCTAATTTTGGGTTTTATTAGCTGTGGATGGCTGAAAGCGATTGTAAATAACCAGAAAATAAAATGATTTCTCTAAAGCCACTCTCAGTTTACCTCTAATTCTTGATTTTTGAGCTGCATCTTACTAAGTTGACTCTTCATGTGCCTACTTGTTTCTCTCCCAAGTGGACTATCAGTTCAGGAAACTGAAGTAACCACAAAGTTGATATTCTTTCCTATTTTCACCAAAGTCCTACAAGCCTGAGTCTATGTAGAACTGAAGTATAGTTAGGGGAAAGCACATACCTGTATGTAAGCTATTTGGCCCAATATGTAAAAAGAGGCCTAAAGTTAGACGCCATCAGTTCAGTCTTGGAGAGAACTTACTTTATAGTTAATCAAGCAGAATTAATGTGTTACAAAAAGGGAAGATTCAGCTATCTTCCTCCTGCCCCACTATATTTCTGGATCTTTTCTCCTTTCTATACCTAACCCTAATAGGGAATGGAAACTTGTTAACAGAGATGAAATATGTCTGGAAAAAGGTCAGACATTACAAAATATAAAATGTATATACTTTTTTTTTAAAGATTTATTTATACATACAGAACTGGGGCACAGGTCAGAGGTGCAGGGGTGTGTTGAGAGAATTCACTAGAGGTAGAATGGGGAGCAGAACAGGCAGGTTGACTGAAATACACTGATGAGGGGGACAGTGGGCAGGTAGGAGAGATCTGCCACACCATGTGGGTCACTCCCCTTGGCCGGGGATCAAACCTCCACTGCAGTGGCTGCAATAGCATCATAGTGCTGTGCTTTAACCCACTGTGCCACCGAGGGCCCAAAATGTATACATTGTTTTGTCTTTATTATGACAATAGCATGCTGAGATATCTTTAGGAGTATTTATATTTGTATTCTAGTACTTAAGCAAATTTACAGTGTTAAGCCTAAATCTCTTTTTAAACTGAAATATTCTGTTGCCCTGGAACACCCATGCGAAAGCACTGAAACCCCCAACTTGCCAGTGGCAGACAGTGGAACATCATCTAGCTCAATGTTTCTGAGCAAACTCCAATGTATGTTTCTACATATGCCTTTCCTTAAAGAAACAACCAAACAAAGCTATCAAGAGTTCAGACCAACAACTATTTAAAAATTAAACTTTAAGGCTATTATTAGCATCTCAGCAAATTCCAGCCACTGAACAGCAGAGAAATAGTAGATAGAATAAAGCCTGACAGAACTGTTAATAAATATTAGTTCATGGAAGATCAGATCAGAAAGAAAGGAAAAACAAATGCTTCAACTTCGCACAAAATGCCCATAACTGAAAATTGAGGATACTTCTGAATCAAGAAGAAGATACTTCTTCCTACCATGACTGCATAGGGCTTCATTTCCCAGGCGTGGAGGTTGGTATTATCGATAATAATAGGGGATATGCCATTCCTCATTGCTTTTCTTGCTGCAACACAATGTTATATAACAGTGAACAACATGCAACAATCAGAGAAGGGTGAGTGTACTCCACATTTTGTTATTTTTATTACAGGATGTCTTCATTACACAACTTTAATGCCACCTATTTCAGAACCGATTATCAAAAATATTCTGTTTCCTGGAATCTAGGAAGGTTAAGCACTGGCATTCTGTTTGGGGGCAGGAGGAAATGGCAGAACTTTGGATTAAGCTCCTTTCATAAAACATTAATTTTGCAACAGCTACAATCTATGTGCATAATAGGATTTCCCAGGAGTTTGGAAAGGAACTTGTTACCTCTTTTCTGGTTCCACTCATGAGCTTCCTCCAGAAAGTCAGGATTGAACTCGTAGGCACCATCTTCCCTGAAGAAAAAATCATCTGTGCTGAAAATCAGGGCCCTGGGAAAGTCCTGTTGCAACTGTCTGGAAAGTGGGGAAAAGAGGTGATTTTTTGACTATGCATAGTCATAACAAATTACTTCCATCTCTAAGTTAGCTCCTTGTAATTATGAGACCACCAGTTTTCCAGTTGTTGAAATTCAATTTTAAAAAGCAAGATAGTTATTCTCTCTAGACAGTATTCCTAGTATGCAGAAAGGTCTGGAAGCTGACTAAGTGCTTTCTACTCTTGAAATTAAGTGCTGGTCAACTTTGTGTGCTCATCCCACTGGGTCTTTACATGTTAACAGTGACCTATACCAACTGGGAAAAGAAGCAGAAGGAAAAAAGATCTAATATTCCAGGTACCGTCCTTATCCTCCCTCTACCATTCTCTTAAAATATAAAAATGTCACAGAGATACCATCACTGAGTGCCTCTTTAAAAAAAAAAAACTATATTGAGAGAAAATAGCTTCAAAAAGATGTTTCCACTTGAAATCCATATTCAGACTTATTTAGAAGAATATAGACACTGTCATAGCTATGACTCTCAGAAGGTCCCTTTCTCATCTGTAAATTTTGAGAACATCACTCTTCCTAGATTATGAAAATGATCTCATTTCATGGGAAGCACCTACTACAGTGCCTGACACAATGAATTTGTGTTTCTTTTTCACTACAGCATTTACGATCCAATCCTAACTTCAAAACAAATTTAACTGGCAAACAAAATATGATCAACTGTGGCCCTGCTCAGAATAAAACAATACTTGAAACTTTGATGGAAAAAAAATTTGGAAAATGACATCAGCATGAAATACAAATTCTTTTTGAATTTGAATGGGGTAAGAGTGATAGGGGCCTCCATTGAGAAGAATGAATTTTTCATTAGGAAAGAAGATATACAAAAGGCACAGTTAATGAGTAAGCACCTGCTCTGAAAGACCTGGCTCAACCCTTTGACCCTTCTACCTAGTCATGGGACTTTTAAGTTTCCATTTTCTGGACTGAAAAATACAGATCATAATTTCTATTTACTAAACTAAGCTTCTAGTGTGGCTTAAATGAGGTAAGGTATGGAAAAACATGCAAATGGTAAGACACCTAAGAAATCTAGAGCACTGTTATTTCAATAATGGTAACAAGTGAGTTTCAAATTTACAAACCCAGGCTGTTTACATGCCTTGTAGTAAAGGATAGTGGAGTACAATCTTGCAATTACTGCCAGTAAATTAGAGAGTATTGTAATGAATGAAAAAGATGAAAGCCCACAATAAAGCTAATTCCTTAGCTTTCAAAAAGAGTAAACAATGTGCCAGAAACAGTAAACAAATACATCTTTGTCAAAATTCTTGATGGCATTTAAAAAACAAGCAGGATAGAGCTGAAAAAGTAATTCCAAACAAAAATTTTCTTTTTTGATGGGCTATGGTGATAAACAGGGGAAACCCATGAACATAATCATAAATCTTTATGTGAACAAGAATCTCTAAATTTCCTGATGGCCTTTGAGGAAATGTAGGCCAGCAGTATTATATTTTAATACCCAAAAAAATATTAATTATCCAACTCATTAAGCATTTATTGCACGCTTAACTAATGCCAAGTACTATGAAGTACATTTATTTAAAAATAAAAGAAGCTGCTTTCAAGGAATTCACAACTTAGCCAAGAGGTCAATCACTGCACAGCTGACTTTACCCACCACAGGAAAAACTGAGTAAGAAGTACTGAGAAGGGGGGTGAGGATCACAGTCTTACTGAAAAATACTATAAACAAATTGCATTTGACAAGGATCTTTGCCTCTTGGGGAGTTAAAGAGTTAAAAACAATGGCAGTAATAGGGAAAAGCTAATGTTTAGGATCTTATGAGCATTTTCAGGTATATATATTTTATATTTGTGAACACTACATTTTTTAACTTATAGTCATCAATATTAGTCTCAGGAATGAAAGTGAAGTTTGGAAATCAAATAAAATGTATAAGTAACTATGGAAACTAATTCCAAGATTTTTTTCCCCTTGATCATATATTCCTTCTCATTTTTCTATTATGTCTTCCACTCATAAGTTTGATTTTGTTTTTTACCATTTTCATATACATAGCCTGATCTACTCTTACTTCTTCTCCATGGTTTATATTAGAAGTTAATGCTCTAAATGTTTCCTTTAGAAAACTACTGTCATTCTTGATTAGAAACATTTACCTTAGAATAAAAGTGAAAGTGTTCAGAAGCACTGTAGCGCTCCACCACCAGCTCATCATTTCCCAGAACATGAACTGCTGCCTACATGGTCCTAACAAACTGGCCGGCCAAACTATCAGTGTGTTTCTTGTCATGGGGTTTTACAGCTCAACAGAATTTGAGGGATGGGGCGCAGTTGTCCATATGATCATTCCTTCAAAAACTTGTTTTATCTTCACCTGAATATTAAAGTAGCTCTGGTAACCACAGCAGCATCTTAAGTATGCAGGATAGTAAGTCCTAACTACATCAGGAACTGATTACAGAGACGATCTTGAAACTCTTAAACTTAAGTGGAAGCAATAAATACCATTTCATCAGCTTCAGAAGTGATGTAGATAATGCCCCAGCTCTAGCTTTCTTTATGATGTCAGGAGCCTCAAGCATTGGGAAAAATGGGAGAATGAAAACAAAAGGGAAAAAATAGACAATTACTTCCACATAATCTTTACTTCCCCAGCTCCCCCACCCAAATTCATTTAAAAACACTACTATAAAAAAACTCAAGTAACTCAAGCTTGATTTCACAACTTCTTACTCTATTTAGCACTTTTACTTAAAAAGAGAACCACAGGAATATATTTAGGTAACTAATCAACATTCACTCAATGACATGTTTAATATTACTATGTAATTTTGAGTTACACCCCCAACTTTTACTATGTAAATTTTCAGGCATATACAAAAGGAGAAAAAATCATTCTTAATGTATCCATAAGTCCACCTGCAATAGTTATTATCATATGGTCCATCTTGTTTAATCTGCTTCATAATTTCATCATATATCCAGTGAGTGTTCAAATTTCTGTCTCAAAAACATTTCCCTAGGGTTTGTTTCTTCAAATTGGGAGTTAAGCAAGACCCACACATTATGTCTGGTTGCCAGTTTTAATTATCCTATACTTTCACTCTTATTTTCATCTGCATTTTTCCCACACAATCTTTCATATTTAGACAATGTTCAAATCTACAGAAGTCTATGCAAAATAAGTGTACACTGCTTACCCTTCATGTCCTTTATTTAATGTCTCTCAGATGTATTTTTGATGTACCTTTTGAAAACAAGTTTAAGACATGACACTTTATGCCTAAATTGTGGTGTCTCCTATAAATAAGAACATTTTTCTACATAATAACACCATTATAACATCTAAAAATTAACATTATTTTATAACAGCTAAGTCATTTTTATCTCTGGCATTCTTCATTGTTCTTTCCCCCCTCCACTCTCTCCACCCCCATTTTAGGTAGATCCCACTGTTGGGAATTTCCCACTTGGTTTTACCCCTTTTGGCTTCTGGAGCTAGGCTTTGTAGACTTGTAGTCAGTAAGGGAGATGAGCCTTGTCACTGTGCCTACCACAGAGTGTCACTGGGAAGTATAGATTCAAAGAATCTCAGTGATTTGAGGAACTCCTTACAGAGAAGCAATGTCAGTGCTATAAGGAAAAGTCATACTAACCCAATACACAAACTAGAGAAGTCAAACATGTCCTCACAGGCAACATAGCACAGTAGTTAAGAGCACAGATCTGGAGACACACTGCTTGCTTTTGAATGCTTGTCCACTACTATCGAGCTGAGTGATCTGGACCCAATTATTTAACCTGCTCCTCAAGCTCAAAGGCAATTATGACTATCATTTGGATTGATATGTGTAGGATGCTTATATGTCCTGGTTGACTGTACACGTTGTGTCAATCTGTGCAATTCTGTTCTTGGTATTGTGACCTCTGAACTCCACACAGTCCCTAACACTGGGATCTGCTTTAAAAAGTTTATTGAAAGAAGAATTAAACCCACATTCCTATGTGATCTACAGGAATTGTACCTCAAAGAGACTCTCAAAGTGAGACCATCTATTTCCCTTGTTGCCTTTCCTAATTTCTTTCTCTTGCTTTACTCAGAGGTACTTTCCAAAACCTAGCCCAGGCTTGTCACAAACTGTTATTACATGGCTTCTTTCCTAGAAATGTTAGAAAGTCACATTGAAATGGAAAATGAAAAAGGTGATAAGAGTAAAATTTTATGTGTTGGGACATCTATGGAAATAAGCCCGACGAAAACTTGCTGTTTCTGTGTAACTAAAGAACAGAATTAAAAGAGAGAGATTCGGCCCTCCCTGGTGGCGCAGCGGGTTGAAGCACTGCACTGAGAAACTAAAGCACCTCCGCATGAGTTCGATCCCCGCCTGCCCCGGAGGTGACCACATGGCGAGGCAGATCTCTCCTGACCCGCCCACTGCTCCCCTCAGCAGTGTACTTGGTCGATCTGCCTGTTCTGCTTCCCGCTCTGTCTCTGGTGAATTCTCTCACCCTCCGCATCTCTGGCCTGTACCCCAGTTCTGTACGAATAAATCTTAAAAAAAAAAAGATTCTATCTCCTGGAAAGATCAAAATGTTAATAATTAGTTCAGGTGTGGGAATATAGCAACCTCTCCCCTTTTGCATTTTCCTGTGTCAGAATATTCTGCAGTGACTATAATTTCTTTACTAATAGAAAGGAAAGACATTTTAAAAGTATGTGTAGACAAAGACAGGAGTCAGCTTGAAGAGAACCTACTGGACAAAGTTAGGACAGTTGAACATACAGAATGATGGTGAGAACTGCAAGAAGGGAAAGAAAAACTCTCTTTCATAAGACAGTGCCATGTGGTACAGAAGAAATCAGAGAATGAGAAAAGTCAATAGTGTCAGCAATGGATGTGAAGAACACTGAGGGAAAGGCTATTAGGAAAAAGGATCTCTACATACATGGCAGTGGAAGATTCTCACAGTATCACCCCACATACACATTATTTAATATGAGAGAAGCAATGTGCCTTTATAATGGAGACATCTGGCTAATACCTTTTAGTCAAGTGATTAAAACTCAGTGTGATAGTATAAACTGTTGCTATGTGCAATCACAAGTACATAAACACCACCTTCCGAAAATGTTTACTCTGGACCTAACCATGAGGAAACAAAGAGTGTAGGGCTTTTTCAAACCAGCTGACCTAGTCTCTTCAAGCATTATCTTGGTATGTGCCACTGGTTAAGATGTGGAACCTGATTGTATTGAAACCAATAACTGAACAACTAATTCCCCATTGTTTTGAGCTATTTTTTATTACTAAATGGTAATAACTAATTTGTTGTCAGACTTTTAATTTTTATTTTGTTCCAGCACTCAGCATGGCCAGTTCTTCATTATCTTCTTTTCCAGTATTTTCTTAGTTTCTTTATTATATTCAGAGTTACAAATCACTATAAACTTTTAATTTATCTTCTTTTCTTATTTTGTTGGAGAAACATTTCAGAACAATATTAAAACAATAGCCTCTTCCTAAGTGTTTGATTTTTTCTTAAATTTAGCTAAAGTTGGTTGTTCCTATAAATTTTTTTTCAAGAGTACTGAGCATTAAATGAAGACATTGGCTATATATTACCTCTCCTTAACCTTTACAATTTTTTTGAAGATTTATTTATTTCTGCATACAGAACTGGAGTACAGAAGTGCAGAGGCGGTGAAAAGATTCACCAAAGACAGAGTGGGGAGCAGAACAGGCAGATCTTTGAAGTACACTGCTGAGGGGAGCAGCGGGCGAGTCAGGAGAGGTTTGCTGCACCATGTGGTCACCTCCAGTGTCGAGGACCAAACTCATGCTGAAGTGGCTTTAGCTTCTTAGTGTTGTGCTTTAACCCGCTGCAACACCAGGGAGGGCTAACCTTTACAATTTTATGATGTAAACATTTTCTCTAGTTTTTAGATAAAGAAACTTAGACTTCAAGAGATTAAATAACCAGGATGTAATACTTTGTACGCTTTTCTCTTGTCATCAAACAGTAACTTGGCTGGATGAGAATTTCTGAAGTTGGCTGGATGAGAATTATAGTACTTTTTTTATACACGTTTATAGTTCAAATTTGCTTCAGTTAGAAGTGGGTTCAATTATATTTAACAGAAACTTCATAGAACATTGATTTCACAAACTATATATATAGTGTTTGTGTCTATATATACATATGTATATGCTTATTTATATATTATAGTATATATATATACACACAATGTTATACTGTTATATGTGTGTGGGTGTCCATATATACAAACAGTGCTGACATCATACGGACTCAGGTGTCAGCCATCTTACTTAGCTCCTGTTTCCATTCATTCATTCTTTCTTCCATATTGTGCCTCCAGGTGGGCACTAAATGCCACTGCAGTTCCAGCTGCTTTCACATCATAGTTGCATTTCAGGAAGAGACAAAGGAGCCTTGAAGACAGTACTTATATAGCTGGACATGTTGCCATACTCAACAGAAAAGGAACCAACAAAATAATGGTGGTCAAGTAACAACTTTTTAAGTAGTCATCAGGATTAAGCCTAGTTATTTTTTAAATTTTTAATTTTTACCACTTTTGTTTAGGTCTGCAACTCAAAAATATGTTCTATTACATCTGTAATTGCTTGATTATTTTATTGGTTATATTTATTCTCACATTTGTCTTCTATATTGTATTTGATTTTCTATATTATGATATTGCTCATTTCTATTACTAATGGGCTCTAAAATTCCATCATTCTCAAAAAAGATAAACTCATGCCTTTATATGCCATATAAAGCTTGAAAGGATAATGTTAAATAAGTCTGAAGGAGTAAGATAAATACCAGATGATGTCACTAATAGGTAGAATATAAAGTAAGTAAATTAATAGTTAAAGACAAGCTGAAAATGAAACCTTGAAAGCTGACTACAGAACTAAAGCCCAAAGGAGTTTAACGGGAGAGGAGTAAGAACAAAGAGGGAAGGAAGTACAATAGTACATGGTAGTGGAATATGGTGGTAGAATATGGTGGTAATACCTAATGGGGGTACTCCAATATTACCTCAGTTAAAAATAAACTAATTGTTGGCCCTCCCTGGTGGCACAGCGGGTTAAAGCATTGCACTAAGAAGCTAAAGCTACTTCCGCATGAGTTCAATCCCCGCCTGCTCCGGAAGTGACCACATGGCGTGGCAGACCTCTCCTGACCCGCCCGCTGCTC